TACACGACGGAAGGAAAATCTCTCTCTCAAAGGGAAAAAAAAATCGGAGCCATCATTTTCTTCAATCTTCCTCGGTTGTCCCGTATAGAATGCGGAATCTTCTTAGCGCCTATTTCTCTCGCAGAACCCTTGTCTCTCTCTACAATTTCTTCATCTGGGTCTTCCGCAATCTCCTCAAGACGTTCCCTTTGTCTCTCATCATGCCCCAATTCGACGCAGACGCCGCCGTCACCGGCGCCGGTGCATCTGCCTCGGCAGCTCCGCCGTCGGTGCCCATCTCCTTTCCGATCAAGACCTTAAAAGACCTGGAGTCTCGCTCTTACTTCGACTCCTTTCACTTCCCATTCAACCGGAGTTCTGTTCCTCTCCGGCGAAACTCCGTTGACTTGCCGGACCGTCCGAGGATTCTGGTCTGTCACGACATGAAAGGTGGGTACGTCAACGACAAGTGGGTGCAAGGGTGCGAAAACGACGGGGGTTTTGCGATATGGCATTGGTACTTGATGGACATTTTCGTCTATTTCTCACACTCTTTGGTAACTCTGCCTCCTCCATGTTGGGTCAACACTGCTCATAGACATGGCGTTAAGGTAATTTCTATTAATTTCTTTTTTTGTTTTATGTTCTAGCTTATTTGCTTTCAGAGATCCGATCTCAGTTTGTTTTCAGTCATTTGAAGGACTGCAAATGATTAGCTTTTTAAGACTTAGGAACTATGTATCAATTGCTATTTATGATAAATGTCAAAACTCTATCATATCTGATAACGAGCATTTTGATGGAAATATGAGGTTTTTTTTTTTAAAAAAAGGAATAGTATAGTAGTAGTCTTGTGCTGATAAAGAAGAGACCTTGCTTTGTACATGCTGAGGAGTTTATGCATACTGCGTTTGTTTCCTTGGCTTATGGGAACCCCCAAGGTATTGGGGACTTTCATCACAGAATGGGATGAAGGGAAAGCTATCTGCAAAGAGTTGCTCGAAACAGAGGAGTCTGCACAGATGTATGCAGAGCGGTTATCAGAACTTGCTGCTGTTCTTGGATACGATGGGTGGCTGGTGCGTATTTGCTAGCTTTTGAATGGTTTTCAGTTCTCGTCATCTTCTAAACCTCTCTTGAATGTTTTTTCTTATTACTGAATTATGTATTTCGGTTGATATGGCTGTCACTTGCAGATCAATATAGAGAATGAGATAGAAATAGGGCAGATTCCCAATCTGAAGGTATTTTTAGGCCACCTAACAAAGGTCATGCATTTGTCTGTGCCTGGGGCATTGGTTATATGGTGAGTTTTTTCAGAAAATTTTCGTCGTTTAATTACTCTTTATTCTCTTTCTAAATTCTCCGATAACATTTTACAGGTATGACAGTGTCACGGTTCACGGCCATCTCGAATGGCAAGATCAGCTGAATGAAAAGAATAAACCTTTCTTTGACATATGCGATGGCATATTCATGAACTATACGTGGAAGGTTTTCCTCTGTCTTTGTTTGTTGTTTCGACCCGTTTCTTTGTATGTCTTTTGCTTACGTATAAGTGGGCATTTTTCAGGAAGACTACCCGAAATTATCAGCTGAAGTTTCCGGAGATAGAAAATACGATGTGTATATGGGAATAGATGTTTTCGGAAGGAATACCTTTGGTGGTGGACAGTGGACTGTATGTGACCCCTAAATCCGTAAATATTTGTAATTTTTTTTTTTGCGGTTGAAGAGTGAATAACTGATAATCTTTACATGCTTAGACCAATGTTGCTCTTGACGTGCTGAAGAAAAGCGACGTATCTGCTGCTATATTTGCTCCTGGATGGGTATACGAAACCGGGCAACCACCTGATTTTCTCACAGCTCAAAATAAGTATGGTTTTCTGTTGCGGAATGATTGATTCCCTTTACCTTATATCTCATATGTTGAGGTTAATCCCCTGTTAGTATAAGATTTCACAGAATCTATCATTTCACATGTTTTCGGTTTTCAGATGGTGGTCACTTGTTGAGAAGTCATGGGGAATAGTTCAAACCTATCCGGAAGCCTTACCGTTCTACTCTGATTTCAATCGGGTGAGAATACATTCTATGGCATCCATTGGTTAGCCATGAAACTATTGAGTTTGGATATGATTCTATTTCGGTTAAGTTGTAAATCTCTCTTCTTCTTTCATTTTTCCAGGGTTTTGGGCGTCATGTTTCTCTTGGAGGTTCCCAGTTATCAGATTCTCCGTGGTACAATCTTTCTTGCCAAAGTCTTCAGGTTCACACCTTTCTCACACCTTTTTTGCTACTGCAAATCCAACGGTTACATGAAAAAACCGGTGTTTGAGTACCATGTCTGAATTTCTTGATCTGGGTTTTGTCTCGGAGCCATTTGAACTTGACTTCATTGTGTTCTTCCTGGCAGCCACTCCTTGAATTCAATGAAGAAAGTAACCCGGATACCATCCAGGTCATCGTTGAGTGAGTTTTCTGGCCCTTGACTCGTTTTTTTTTTCAACTTTTCAAGAAGGCGAAGAATAAAAAGAAAAGTATTTTGATATCTCGTTGATTAACAAAAAGTTCTGGCAAAATCTATAACGGTAAGGTCACGAATTTTCTAGTGCTCAGGAGGCATCTTTCAACGGAGGAGGGAATATCAGTTTCAGAGGAAGACTTGAAGAAGATGCAGTTTTCACAGCAAGACTCTTCAAACCACAGCTTCAGCTTTCTGATTCCCCGATTTTCGTTACCTTTTCTGTAAGTTTTTTGATTCCCCGTCTTCGAGTATATCAGCTCGATCTGCATAGAGATAGGAGATATCTTATCTGTAAAGTTTCAAGCTTCTCACTTTCAGTGATGTGAATGAGGCATTTGGAGTGGTTGCAGGTTAAGACAGAAGAGAATTCTGAATTGGGCATTCAGCTTCACTTCTCATCCCCATCACAAGAATCAAAATCCTTACTTTTGGCGCCACGACGGGGAACCGATGAATCCATTCCCGGTTTCAGCGACACATGCATACCTTTCCCCGTCTTATCATCAAAGACACCATCCGGGTGGACGATATACCATACGAGCCTCGTCATGAACGGCCACACACTGACTGAGATCTCCACATTTTGCTCTCGACATTGCAAACCCTCAACCGAGACACAGAGGCAAGAGTATTTTGCATTGCTAGGATACATCTCCATCGAAGATTCCTGTCCCGACCCAGAAAAGAACGGATCTTTCCCTCCTGCATCGTCATGGATCATTGAGGCTCGTGACGTGGAACTTGTCCCGGGCGAGTCGGAGTCAGGTTCCAGGAACTTCAGAGGAAAGCTCGAATGGAGACTGAAATGCCCAGATGAGTTCTTGTTTTCGAGGTACAATGTGTATGCAGAGAAGGGGAGGAAGAAGAAGAATAAGAAGGGTGGGCTCGGGTCGAGGAAGCTTCTAGAAGGCGAAACGGGCGAGAGAACGTTCCTAGGAACTGCCCACGTGGATGCCTTTTACATCTCGGACTTGATCATCGAACCGGGTGTGGGGGAAGTCCGGTTCAGGCTTCAAGCTTGGTCCTTTGGTGACAGTTCTTGGCAGGAGCTTGATGCTTCTCCTTACCTTCTAGTTGATTTGGAAGGTCTTTAGCTTATATGGCATTATTGCCATTATAGTGGCAATATTCATACAGTGATTTGAATAAAAGAGTGGCAACAATGAGTAACGATTATTGATGCATTGGTTGAATAAAATGGTCGGAGAAGCAATACTAGTCTGTTAATTAATCACATTATCCTATCCTCGTTCCCAATAATTTCATCTTTTTTCTTTACTTTGTTTGGTTTTGTTGCCCTTTTGATTTTACGATCACATAGCTAAAAGATTTAATTTTAAAATAATGTTTATTTTTAATGGATTTTTAATAATAAAATAAAAATTAATTAATATTATAATTTATATGTAAGATTCATGTAAAACAAATTATCTATGCTTTCTGATTTATTTGGTAAAATGATTATTATTGTTTTATTTATCAGCTTATATATATCGAATGAATTTTAATGAAGTATTTAATATAACAATTCCAAAATGCAAAACATTATTATTAACTCATGTCCATGACCCGATATATCACGAAACCAAACGTTGAATGACATTTGAAACGTTGACCAGTGGGGCCTATATCACCCGATATATCCAGAGCCACCACGAGCAGTCCACGCGCCATTTCGTGTCCGTCTACGTGTCACTTTCTCACTTCACCACATCGTCACCGTCACTCTCTCTCTTAAAGCCACCGTTCATCGTCAACTGTTTCCTAAATCTTTCTCTATAACGATGATGTTGCTCAAGGCTTCTCCGGCTATCTCTCCCTTGAATTCCGGCGTCGATGAGATTCGTCTTCCTCTGTCGTGGAAATCTTGGACTCTTCCGGTTTGCTCGAGGAAGTCACCGGGAAACGGGTTATCTGTTCGCGCGGCGAAGGGGACGAACCAACGGGCATTGACGGGCGTCGTCTTCGAGCCTTTTGAAGAGGTGAAGAAGGAGATGGATCTCGTTCCCACAGTTCCTCAGGTTTCTCTCGCTCGCCAAAAGTTCTCGGACGAGTCTGAAGCCGCGATCAATGATCAGATCAAGTAGGTCATTTGATTGTCGCTTTCTCCGTCGTATTTCAAATTTTGTTGTTTTGGATTTATCACAATCTTTGTCGAAACTTCGGGAAAATTAGTTGCTATTCAGATAGAGAACTGATCTTTCATCTTCTGACGCCCCCCTCACCCAACTTTGCTGAGATTTCACCAGAAGGTCCTACTACGGTTTGATTCATCTGTTTTGGTTTTTTATTAGGGTTACGTTTGCGATCATTGCATCACCATTGAGCCGTCTTGTGATTAATCCTCCTTCTTTGGTTTGGGTTTGATCTTGAATTTGCTTGTGATTATCTTTCTAACATCGCTTGCTTACGTACCCCATGGGATTACAGTGTGGAGTACAATGTCTCCTACATTTACCACGCCCTGTATGCCTACTTTGACAGAGACAATGTCGCTTTGAAAGGTCTCGCCAAGTAAGTTTTCTTCTCTCTCTCAGGTCATGGAACCGTTTCAGGTATTACCAAAGTTCTTTCATGTAGGTGGATTGATTGCTTTTTGTTGATAGGTTTTTCAGAGAATCGAGTGTCGAAGAGAGAGGGCATGCGGAGAAGTTCATGGAGTACCAAGTATATATCTTCACATATATTACTTTCCTGTATTCAGATGTAAGCTTCGTCGATTTCGGTTTATGGCAACATTGTAATGCTGATTGGGTTTCTGTAATTTTCAGAACAAGCGTGGTGGGAGGGTCAAGCTTCTGTCAATCCTGCCGCCATTGGCAGAGTTTGATCATGCCGAGAAAGGAGATGCCTTGTATGGTACGTTTTTCTGGTTGTGGGTGTTTCGGCATGGAAAACGCTGCAGTGAAATGCACCTTCATAGCTGCAGAATCCAATAGAATATGCATAGCCTCTAAGGTCATCCTTATTAGCTAATATTCTGATTTTCCATTTCTGTTCTGATTCAGCAATGGAGCTTGCATTGTCTCTGGAGAAATTGACGAACGAGAAGCTCTTGAAATTGCACAGGGTATAAAGACCATCATTATCTAATTCGTTTTCTTGGGACATTGTTTGGAGATTGTCAAGAAAGATGACACATTGTCAAGAAATGATCAAAACCTTTTTTGTTGGAATGACCAACAGGTGGCCATGAAGAACAACGATGTTCATCTGGTTGATTTTGTCGAAACCGAGTTTCTGGGCGAGCAGGTAAAAGCCGATAATTCCCACAACTTCTCCCCGCTCCCATGATGCTTTGCCATTAATCGCATATAATGCCCGAATTTGCGTTTGCGTGATCAGGTTGAATCCATCAAGAGAATCTCAGAGTACGTAGCTCAGTTAAGAAGAGTCGGTAAAGGTCACGGTAAGTCCTCGGGTTGGATCGTGAATAACACTTGATCTCGAATTTTGCTCAGTTAAAAAGTTTTCAAATTTTGCTATTTATACTCGTGAATAACACTTGATCTCGGATCTAATTATCCAATTTAAAACCCGATTTTCTGATTTTTTCCCCCCACGCTATAACCTGTTCCTATCGTTTGGATACCTAAATTTCGGATTACGGGTTGGATCGGTCACTCGAATTTTGTGTTATTTTTCGCCAGTTCTACTTCCTGGTAAGCTCTATTTTGGGGTTTAAGTAATTGGTCTTGTGAAATTGCAGGAGTGTGGCATTTCGATCAAATGCTTCTGGAAGAAGGAGAAGAAGCTGTGGCTTGATGATTTTGGAAGTTCAGTTCATTAGATTTGGTCTCAGAAGTTTTAAGCTTTTTCAAGTATACCTTTTTTTTTCCTTACAAAAATAAATTGGAGATCCATGAAACTAATGGAATGATCATGAATCCAGAACCCCCTGTAACATGCTGAATGATCAAATCGGCCGTTGTCTGGTATCCTCTCCGGGATCCCATAAACCCTAATATGCCGTTCTTCTTCGTTGACCCTAAACCAGACGAAAACACAAGAGTGCTGAATTTGTGGACGATTAGAGCCGTAAACGTCGTTGACTATATTCCCGACCATCACCGTGACATTGAGCTTGGTTCTCGCGAGGAGCGAGGATTTTCTGGTGACGTCCTTGCAAACACTCCAGTACATCCCGGACGGACTACTGCGGAGGAGCTCCACGCCGTCGAGCCACAAGCCGGATATGCGGTCGTACTACTCTTCGCTCGAGGCGGCTCGGATTCCGAGCATGACGGAGGACCACCGTTGCGATGCGCGGCCCGACGGCGGTGAGCGGAGGTCCATTGTTGGCGGAGGAGCACGTGCTTCCGGTGATCGGAGTAGCCGAACTGAAGAATATCTCCGGCGACGGACGGAGGCAAATACAACGGTGTCGTTTTGCACTTTTATTGTTGGGTCGTCGTGTTCTCTTACTCGAAAGGTTCTGTCACTTGCCAGGCGTACAGGTACATGGAGAAGAAGAAAGGTCATACGAAAACATCATAGTGTTCGTTGTTTGCAAGATTCAACTACGCGCCGTTCTCAAGATTCTGAAACGGCAACAATTCGGTAGGCTCGGGGGCAAATGGAGAGCTTGAGCCAAGTAGCTGTAACGTAATTCCGTTATTTGCACTGGCGTCTGTCAACGACTTGTGCTACGTGTCAGAACCTTATTGGATAATGAATAACCCGTGATCACTGTCGTGTATTTTTTAGCATTGCTCTCGGCGTGCTCCCTCTCGCTCCGTCAGTATGAACTTCTCCGTCTTCTTCCCATGGCGGGTTCATAACCTCTCTCTCTCTTTCTCTTCGCTCGTTTCTCTCTCTCTATAGACATACATAAAAAGAGTGTTGAAGCTCGTACATGCACATTTTCTCCGATTCAACTTATTCTGCGACCACCGTCGAGGCAAGGAATTGTTTCTCTGTCGTCACGAGGTAGTCTGTGAAGAAGAAACATGTTTTACTCTCACCAGCTTCTAGCTCGGAAAGCTCCACTAGGGCAAATATGGTGAGGTTTGAATTCTCGTGTTCGAACTTTTCTAATGTTTCAAGATTATGGAAGCTCTGTTTCTGTTTGAGTTCTCATCGTCTATTTTATTGAATTTCACGTCGTGAACTTCCTCAGCCGTTGTTACTTTTTAAATGGTCTCTGCGATCTGAATTGTTTGATCTCTTTTGGGGCTCTTGGACAAAAGGGTGTGATCACTGATCTATGTTTCTCTGCTTTTGTTTTTGGGTTTTCGTCAAGGATGGCCGCTACGTTGCACGCTAAGATCAATCGGAAGAAGCTCAGCAAGCTCAACATCATTAACATCTGGTGAGTCGTTCTTCTCTGCTCTGATTTTGCTGACACTAGTTTGCCGTCGGTCGGTGTTGTCTTACTTTTGGATTTCTCGCAGTGAAGAGATTTTGAATCCGTCGGTTCCAATGGCTCTCAGGCTCTCCGGGATTCTCATGGGTATTCTTCACAAACAAGCTCCTCGAATCAATCTTTCTTAGTTCTTCTCCCTTAGCTTTCCGATTGCCCAATTTGATGATCACAGTTTCTCTTCTCGTTATCAGGTGGGGTTGTAATTGTTTATGAGAGGAAAGTGAAGCTCCTGTATGGTAAGTTTTTGCGAACCCGTCGTAGATTTCGCTAGAATTTTAACTCCGGGTTTAGATTTCAATTGTTTTCTGATGATCATAAGCTAATCACAATGAATTCTCTCTTTCTCCATTCCCGGATTTTTCTGGGTTTCGTCACAAAACCAGAAGATGTAAACCGCCTTCTGGTAATATCAAAACTTCTGGATTCTCTCCTCGTTTTTTCTTTGATATCATGTTGTTATATCTCGTTGTTTGCTCTGCTTATATGAGCTTTGATTTCTCAGGTAGAAATAAACAGTGCTTGGCGCGTAAAAGCTGCTCCAGATCCAACCTTACTGCCTAAAGGAAAAACCCATGCAAGGTATTGTTGTTCTTCGTCGTCTTCTTCTTCCCTCGCTTTGTAGGATTCAATACGACTCCATTGAATAATCCGGCCGGCGAGAGAATGGCAACAAGAATATAATTATTGTTCATAAACTGAAGCCTATGTGAATTTGGTTTCACTTTACGGGTGGAGAAGAACCAGAGTAGACTGCCTATGGGGTTTTGTGTTTTCAGGAAAGAAGCTGTTACTTTGCCTGAGAATAAAGAAGCAGATTTTGAAGACATTGAACAAACCCGTAATGATTCTCACGTTCCCAATGTCATGGATTTCCATCAAACCACTTATTTTTCCATGGTAAACCAATTGATTCTTTTTGTTGTGTATTCCTTGTACTTTTGCCATTGTTTGAAAATTCGATTAAATATGTGTTGATAATATAACCTAAGCTATGAGTTAATGTAGTTAACATATCCGTTGGCTATACTTTACACATGATGATAAATCATTGATTTGTTGGCGGAGAGCATTGATCATGGACTCAAATTGTAACATACAAACGCAAAAAGAAAATTCTTTGATGGTTGACAAGAGTTTTTTTTTGTGTAATGGCTTCATGCTCTCTCTGCAGCGGTTAGATGACTTGGAGGAACCCAATATGAACCATAACCCTGGACAAGAAGATCTTGGCCAACACTTGCATCAAGGTTATTGGGAACTTTCTTGAAAATACGATATACGTTGATTCTTGAGATAATTACTCTAAGCAATTCCTCTTACACTCTCAGCTGACCCTGAAAATATCACCCTCTTTGAGTGTCATGGTTCGTACCAGGCCAACACAGATACATATGATCGCTTTGAAAGGTACATTTCTCGATAGCAGTTATATCTCTGTCTTTTCGTTTACAGATTTTTAACCAATTTTATAAAGCTGTATGAGGAGAGGCTTTAGCCATGCAATGTTTATGTTTGTTCTTTAATCCGCCTTTCTACAAAAAGCATTGTGGTTAGCTGTTCTTATCTTGATCTGTATTTCAATAACTTTTGGGATGGAATCGTAGATTTGACATTGAAGGAGATGATGAGACACAGATGAACTTTAATTCACGGGAGGGCACCAATATACCCTCAACTCTTATCCCCTCACCACCCCATCGACATCATACTCCGAGAGGTATATAATGTCCTTTTTTTTTCCTTACAAATTGCCTGCTAGTATCAAAACTATGCCACTTCATGAAGCTAATCTGTTTTGTTTGGCAAGTCGTCTTGTGAAATAATAAGGTATTAGACATAGATCTCGTAGAAGCGGTGAAGAAGATATTGAGTTATCAAGCCCTTCTAACATGATGCTTATGAGTTTATTGACTTACGTTAATAAAGCTGGACGATTTCACTAACTTCTATCCCTCTGCAGGAGATAAAGCCACAAGCCCCCAAATGTTTGCTGAGCAGCCGCTGGAGCATCAGAAGCCGGGCAGAGAAGTATTTGTTCTGTCTCTAAAAGAAACCTGAGGGGATAAAGGTCGCTCTTTTGGAAATAATCCATAATATTCTCTGTTACTTGTGAAGCAGGAACGAGATAGACAATGTCCACTGAAAAGAAAAGCAAGGAGGACAGCAGCCTCAATGATGGATTACGAGCAGACCATCATATCTGGTCATATCTACCAGTCTTGGCTCCAAGATGCTTCTGACATTATATCTAGGGGACAGAAAAAGAGAAAGGTACCAAGTTGTGATATATGGATCGGCTAAATTCATAATCGATTATGTTATACAAGCGTTTGATTTGTTGTAGGCTCAAAGAACCATCACCTCGGGAAAGAAGGTGACTAAATTGATGGATATTCCACCTACACTATTAATCGATCATTTACGTAGCAAGGGACATGATGACATTTCTTACCCGCCACCACTCCATCAGCTTTGGTCTAAAAGCACTCACCTTGTTCAAAACCCAACATCTGGTGTGTATCTATTTATATCATTGGTGTTCTATTTTCTCGTTAATCAAACTATCCGACCTTCCATATTGCCTATGCAGAAATCCATGGCCCTGGTTTTGCCCATGAACAATCAACAGGATCACCGCAGGAGAGAATGAACGATCACAATCAAACAGATCATGTAAGAAGGCATGAGAGTGTATTCTTTTCCCAGGAAGTTTACTATCAATAGAAAAAAGAACATGTTTTGGTCTTCTCTTACTGAGTTTGAGGTTTGCAGAATTTAGACAATGGGATGAACTCCCACAACAATGGCCGTCCAGCCGAAAAGTTCCGCACAAATATCACCATGGAAGATATTTCAATAGAAGACTTGATGGCTGGAGGTCAAGCCAACCTAGTACATAATGACCATACAACTGAAACTAATGTGATGATCACACCAGGCTATTCAGGTAAAAGACTTAGGCTTTCTCGTTGTCCAGAAAGTCCTGAGTATCATATTCGAGAAGATTACGATATATTCTTATTAACAAAATCTATAAATGTGATGTAATATCGATGATAATGATAACACATTTTTTTGTTTTCTTGTTGGATGAAATTTCAGGAGATGATGTGAGATCCATGCCTAGCTCGGCATCTTGGCATGCAGCCGTATCGAGTAATGCAGAGATAAACTCTAAAAGGTTTTGAGCAAAAACCGTAAATTCACGTGAAGCTAAGATCCAACAACAAAAAGCTTTAATAGATTTGTAATCCTTCCCCATGTTTTAGTAGCAGGTCGAATAAAGGGAAGCCACAATCTTCATCGGGAAAACGTAATATCGGCCTTGAACCAGTAGCTGAAGACAGATCATGGCGTCACGCTGATTTCCCCGACTTTGTTTTCGAGTTATCCACCTTCCCTGAAAAGGGCTTCACTCCCGATCGCGGTAAAAAGTTCTCGTATCTATTTCTTTAGGCAGAAACAGTCATCAGATGAAGATTTTTCACAACCTTTACATAGCTTATTTCACTGTCATGTGAACTATTGAACAGAAATACTTATTGAAACTGGACCTACACAAACTCAACACCCCGTTTACATTCACTCGGAGGAGAAGATAACCGAGAGCATCCAAAGGTAAAAAAAACAGTACATTTTTTTTGGTTTCAGTGTTTCAGGAACAGAGTTTACAGTGACAAAGTTTAAGACAAAACACAGGCAGCTGAAAACACACTTTGAAACACCTGGATCGGCGCAAGTGGAATCCCTCAACAAGCTTGCCCACGGAATGAACAGAAACGCTGCAGCTAAGCTCTTCTACCAATTCTGCGGTATGTAAATTCCTTACAACATCCATTTCCTCCCCATGGCGAAAAAAATGCGTTGAAGAACATTTCTGAGTATCCGAATTTTTACAGTTCTAGCGACTCGAGGGGTCGTAAATGTGGAGCAAAGGCATCCTTATGGGGACATTCTCATCGCTAGAGGGCCGAAAATGTGAGCTCAACTCTCGGAAAGGTCAGCTTCTTCTTCTTCTTCAAACTCCTTTGGTCTTTAGAAACTGTGTTGCCTCTCTTAGTTAAGTATCTATCCAGGCATATGATATAATCCCCACATAGATCACTCCCTCTTTTTTTTTTTATACCTTGATTCTTGAATCCAATGGTAATGGATACAAGTTTGGTTCATTTATGTTTACTTATTCTTGGTTGAACAGAGACGTATGATGCCCAGAAACTCCGTAGACTTTAGACTGTCTGAAATTTTATTTGGAACATGGAGAACTAAATATAATTGAATTTTTGTAAAATTAAATTAGACGACTTTAAATTAAATATAGTAATAATTAAAACATGATAGAAAAAAAAGAAAAAAAAATATTTTTTATTACAAACAAAAACTCAAATAGGTAGAGAAAAATAATTTGAACAGATGTGGTTTTTGTAAAATCGAAAAAATGATGTAGAGAATAAAGAGAGTTAACTCCTAATACTTTTTATCTGATTTTTGAAACAACATTCGGTTTAAGATTTTGGTTGATTGAGCAACTTATTCCCTGAAATATTTTTGGTTTGTAAAACATTAGAAATGAGATAAAATATGATGCAATCAATGGTCGTATCATATAATCTTATTTAATTAGGCTGTAATCGAACGCCAATACAGCAAAACCTTTCATGCGATTTGGAAATTATTTATTTTTATATTTTCAATATAAAATTCGATATTTGAATTAAATGTCACATGCACAGTATATACTTCAAATCAAATATTAAAAAAAAAATGCAGGAGCCATATTGTGGGCTTTTCTCAAATCACGAGAATCATCCGCTCTCTGTCCCCCTTTGCATTCTCCTCATTCATTGGCCCGTTCTCTCTGTATTTCCATTTCAATTTCAAATACGCATATAACGTTACAATCATATTATTTTTTTTGCAAATAAAAATACAATAATATTACAGCAATGATTATTGTTTTGTTCCGTATATTTATCTGTATATATGTCCTAAAATACGCCCACACAACTTTTATTTCCCGATCAATGGTACAAATATACAGGTAAATCCGATGGGTAGGAATTAAATACAAACCATAAAACTGGAATTAGATCTATAATCCAATGAGCTTTCGAAAAAAAAAATCTATATGTGTGCCTGTGGAATCTTGAAGCCTTATCTTTTTCATTTTCCTAATTAATAAAAATAATAAATGCTAACCTGAAACGGAAAAAAAAAAATTACCTTTAAAGTAATCCATGGACCGTCGTCGCCCTTATATATATAGTTCCCACTCCGGCTCTCGCTTCTCACGACAGCTATACGGACCAAAAAAAAAAATCAAAATTACTTTTTTTTTCTTCTCCGTCGTGGTCGTCGTCCTGATGTTGCCGCAGTGGTTGAAATCTCCGATAAGGATTCTCAGAATTCCGGCGACATCTCCGAGACACAGTCCTCACTTCCACTGCTCCTCGTTCAAAGACATCCACTCACTCCTCTGCGACGACGAGCCTCATCAATCCCAGCCTATCTCCCCGATCTTCCATCGGATCCGCCGCATCCGTCCTCTACCTCACCTCCCTCCGCGTCGTCCGTCGCACATTCGAAGACTGCCGCGCCGTCCGATCCATCCTCCGCAGCTTCCGAGTCCCGATCGACGAACGCGATGTCTCCATGGACTCGAACTTCCTCTGCGAGCTCATCGACGCCATGGGAGCCACCGCGAAGAAGAGACTGGCGTTGCCGGCGGTATTCGTCGGCGGTAGGTACATCGGCGGCGCCGACGAGATCAAGCGGTTGCAGGAGAGTGGCGAGCTTCAGGCCCTCATCCGCGGGCCGGCGTCCGTGCGGGTAGAGGCTAAGGTTTGCGACGGTTGCGGCGGGCTGGGATTCGTCGTGTGCGATCGGTGCCATGGGAGCAACAAGATCTACGGCGGCAAGTGTGGATTCATGGAGTGTGTATCTTGTAACGTCAATGGTCTCGTTCGTTGCTCTTCTTGCCGTCCTGTACACCGCCGTTGCACCTGATCCATGCCCCCCATTTTTTGTATTAATTTTCCAGAAAAAAAAAAAGATTTATAAAAACAAAATATATTTCCTCTTCTTCCCCCCACTTCTATTCTTGTTCCTTTTTATGGTATGATTCAATGTACATCGTTCCTGTGTATACTGGATTTGTTTGTCACTGTCGCTATAATCAATGTTCTTGCTTGATAAGATGGTAATTTTTGCTCACTCTAAAATCCAACAGAATTTAATAATGTATGATTATTTTTTTAATGGAATTTACTGGTTGGTTACGATTTTTTTAAAAAAAATTAAAAAAATAAAACATTTGTATAATATAAATTAAATTGAAAAAATTGAATGGATTAAAAAAAAAAGAAAGCCGAAATATATATCTCTACTAATAGTACTAATAGTCATGTCTCTAGATTTGGTTCTAGAGAAATAAAATAAAATTATAACAGTTGATTTATACGATGAAATATTATCAGTGAACTAAATGTACGGAATAAGTACTACTATTTATAAAAAAAAATATTTAATGGAAAACGAATAAAATATATTTTATTCAACAATTGAGCAATGAAAGCCCAAAACTGGTCACATAGACCCCAAAAAAGCCCAATATAAAGCCTCACAATTCACAAAGGCTCAGTCGCTGATTAAAATGCTTGAAAAGGGACGGAAGTATACCCACGCGCTCATAAAGCGAGTAATTACCACGCGCCAGACCCACGGAAATCGGCAGAATTTGCGAAAACCGGGAATTTCTGGGGAAAAAGGCGCGTGGGAAAGGAAAGCTGCCGGTGATGAAATTTTGGGGTTTAAATTTTAAAAAAATTTCATAACCTTTTTTTCTCCCTTTGAAAAATAATAATTGACAACATAGACCAATTGTTTTCGATTTCCTTCGAAATTAGAAACTTAGAACGTTATATGGATCGGTGTTTTTTCAAAATATAAATATAAAAAAATATACATATAATAATATCTACACAATTTCTGCACACGTCCAATTGTGAATAAAATCTAACAGAATTTCTGGACTTTTACAAAGTTTCACCTACAAATTAAATACATGTAATTAATGCTTTTCGATTGAATGTCAAAGAGTTTTTTTGTCTTAAACTATTTCTTATACAAATACCAAAATAGAAAGAAATGGAAACAAATTAAAATTACTATATATATACACACACACACACACTCCGTTGACAGAAGCGAAAAAGAAAATGGCCTTCACGTATGTATAATTATACCACGCAAGGCATGAATAATCCTTAGTCGCATTCACGTCTCTTACATTTTCTTCCACACATTATCATCTTCAAGAAAAAACATTGCATATATGTATCACTATGTGTGTATATATATATATATTCTTCTTCTCTGCATCTCCAACTTCCCAGAGAAGGAAAAAGTTCGAGAAAAGCTTCAAACTTGAAGAAATTTCAAGAAAAATGGACACCGCAGCCATGTGGACCCTCCTCCTCCTCCTTGCAGCGGCGCAATGGCCGGCGACCACGGCGGAGGGATACAGTACTCCACCGCCAGCGACCACAGGATATCCCGCCGGAAAAACGGTGGAAGCGGCGGGGGGAGGGGGGGGGG